TATTATCTCAAACGTCCACGTCACTGTTAAACACAAAATAGAAGCTCTAAAACAATTTGAAAGGAATCCCCTGGCAAATCTTCTTGTTCAATGTAATTACGTAGCAAACTTGCATAGGAGAAGTTGAAACTTAACCCTAAAGATAGGGCTCCTCCACCCACATAATCAGGATGCAGAGACTTCGCAGACACATTCACTATGGTACTATCAGGATAGTCTGTTGGGAACAGACCTGATGACTTGAACCATCTTCTTTTCAGGACAACCATTTTCTGCAAATTACTTTATTCACTCACTATGCTTTTAAAGCACCTAATCGCAACTAGATTCTGCATATTGGGTCACGAAGTAGTTAAGTACAGTTGTATCCCTTCACTCCTGCACTGCATACGCACAAGTTGTTAAGAAGGATTGTATTTGCCATTTTGATTTGCTACCGATACGGGCAGGAGCCCCAAGTGAAAAGAGGGCATCAAGACCTACCCAGAAACCCAAAAGAACTGACTAGCAGACAAAAGGCAAATGTTTCCTTACAGCACCAAGAGCAAAACTACTTCCAGAACAAAGACTTGTTTGAATACCAGTACATAGTTTCAAACTACAAGATGCAGAATAGCTATTTTCATAATTACTCTAAATGTTAGTAAAAAAAAAATAAAATACAAGTATCACAAATACTTTACATGCAATAATTTGTCCTTTTAATCTTAAAAAGCCTCAAAGGGCATGGCCATGACAATAACCACAATATATGTACTTCGCATCACTACACAGCAGAAAGGGATACGATTCCTATACCGCTCTGTATTCTGAAAAGATGTTTTAAGCCATTCTATTCTCCATTTCTCCACAGCAAGCAAAATATTATGTGCAAGAAATCAATTCATAGGCTTTAAAAGAAATCAGACTCAATTCGTGCACAGTTAAAATAATTCACAATCAAAAGCATCATTAAATACCTAATATTTTAACTTAGAATTAACGTAAATAAGCAATATTATTTCATAGTCCACAAACAGGAATACAAGGTGTGCAAAGATGAGAGTCATCATCCAACCACTTGAGACATCTCTCGACCCAAGTGCCTTCTCTGATGAACAGCGTCAACATCTTGGACGAGACCCTCCAAAGGCCTGAGTTAGAGAGCTCAGTCCTGTGGCGCACAAGTGAAAGACAGCAGGTCATCACAGCATCCAGAGTCAAAACACAAACACACACACAAGAATGCCAGAAGTCGTATTTCCCCAAACTGAAATAACCAGAGTAGGGAAAGTAGTTATCCAATTTGAAACCTATTCATATACTAATATAATTACTAAATGCTGCACCGTCTTTTAAAATTCATCAAGCTTTGACTTTAATTTTCAACTTAAAAATCATACTGTGTTAATTTCAACACACAAGCTAACATAAATATCCTAAGACTAAAGTTATTTGAAATTTTTTTTAAAAACTAGCAACTCACAATTTGCTCTGTGAGATCATAACTGTTTTTATATTAAAGCTTGTGTACAGGTGAATTTAGTGTGAAACAGAATTTGGGTTTATGCCTTACAGAATAAGTTCAACAGTTTAAAAAAACCAAATAAACAAGGCCCCACCAAGGTGTTTCAGAAATCCAAGTAAGTATTGCTCTGTGGGTTTTCCCCTTACTCTACTGTAATACTCTCTCGTAAAAAAGCTCACCTTCTAACTACTAAGTTGTTGCATTTTTGCTTGATATGAACTACCAGTACAATATTTTGACTGACATGACTTACTTTCTAGCTACGAAGTCCTCCTACCGTAACAAAAACCACCTAATAGTAACTACTAATTCTGAATACTCTTTCACTATTTCTAATCTACCTGAACTCCAACTATCTGTAAATTACCTGTTACATACAAGATTACTCATGAACATTCTTCCAACAGTATTAAGTCTTGATCAAGCAACATTAGGGTAAGATTACGAGCAGCTTTCCACATTACAAGCTTCTCAAAGCCTTTAAAATGAGATTGTTACAAGCACTAGCTGAAGGCTATTAAAAAAAAAAAGACACCAGTAAGCCATACAATTTTAAATAAAAGATACAGAATCTCAACTGTGTTACACAGTTGCACAACTATTAAAACTACCCAAAAAGTGGTCTGCTTTTTAATACCAAACATCAGTTAAAATTAACTGGTATTGCATCACCTCCATTTTAACGTCCAAAGAAATGGACACTGAGGCAGGATAATACATTTGGAGCAGAATTAGCAGGCTAAACTGCAGCTCTCAGCTGCCCATAGCCATGTTAAGTTACAGTTTTCGCCTTATTCTAATTCTTAACCTTATTTCACCTATACAATGATGGCACATGCTATCAGGCAGTCTTGAGACCTTATTTCATGCACTGTCTAGTCAGTACCAGGACAAGGACTACCAAATTGCACTTAAAAAAAGTTAACAAGTGCTTTCATGAACATCAGTACCATTATAGCCTAGTTTCCTGTAACTAGAGATAGACTGTTGTATGTGGGTTAAGGTTGAGCTCACATTGCAGTGTCTCTCACACTGGGAATATTAATATTGTTCTATCTGCTTGCCTCCCCCCCACCTTTCTTTCCTCTTCAGGACTAGTAGAGCTTGTTGTCTCCAGGATCTATAAGCCCTTTGAACAAACCTGCTTGAACCTGGTAGAGTCCAAGAGTCACCAGGAAGGGGAAAATTATTACAGGGAGGGTGAGGATATGTAAGCAGTAGAAGTACATACATTGTAACTTAGGAGACCACACAAGAAACCACCTTTTTATTGTTACTCAGTTTTTCTCGCCCAAGTTCCCCTCCTTCCCCACACCCCCACCCCCAAAATCAATAAAATTAACTCTCTCCAGTTCTGAAAGATAGCCTCATACCACCAAACTTTACTTAATAGTCGATATAACAAAGAAGCCTTTGATGTACCGACATTTATACTGGTTAACTATACCACTATCTCTAATTGCTCAATGTTCTGAGTGACGTACTCAGAGACCATTTTTATTTATTTTGGATCAGTCTACACATAAGCATAATAGTCTCTTAAACCATCCAAGTTTCATTTACACTAACTGTTCAAAATAAACACTATCACCAAAACTACAGTCTTGGTTTCCTTATCCTCATTTAAATACGCTCCTAGGATGTTTTGCAAAGATTCATTTTCAGTTAAATTTAATTTCTGAAGAAAGCCATGAAATGGGTTTTTATCTTCATTTGACTAGGTGTAAACAGAATGTAGTACATTCTGAAAGAACATTATCATCAGATCAAGATTTATTTTGTCCTTCACTACTTTTGCCTAAACTGCAGTCAGCAACAAATATTTCAGGAAAGGACACAGGAACAGAATTCCTTCAGTCAACTGTTGTTTAAGTAACCTCCCCCTCTGCACCCAGATCACCACCACACACAACAGCCACTGATGGACTTACCCACTAAGATTCATCAGCTTCCTTCCTTTTAGAGCTGTAAGTTTATAGCATATATATAGTATTGTCTAACAAGGAGTTCTAGAATTTAAATAAGCATCAAATTAACAAGTTTTTCTGTGCTAAATATTGTATTTTATTACTTTCCACAACACTGGAACCAGGAAGGACCAACAAAACTGCTGAAGTCTGTTCCTCTCGGCCTTCCATGCTATGAGTTTTCAGAGCTGTATCACATTTTCTCCCCACAGCTCTCATATTTTCTTTTCCAACCTGAAAAATACTGTTCTAACAAAGCTTTTCTACACGGAAACCATCTCACTGTAAAACCTGCTCTGCTACAATCTCTCAGTAACAACCAAGGAAACTCATTACCTTTTCTTCTCCTTGTAAATACTGGGTGATGAATCTATTCAAACTTAGCAAAACATAAATTGTATTTCCAGACTGAAGGTGGATCACACTTACAGAAATATAAACTGCAGAAAATCATATGAGAAATATTTCAGCAGCAAAAATAAGAGTAAGATCAAAAGACAACTACACATCCCACCAGTGTCTGTCAAACTACAGTTCAAATCAACATTTCTTGTTTTATATCTGCTTGTATCACATCACTAATAAAATTATTTTGCAAATAACTGAGCTATGTGTATCTTCCACTATTCAGTATCTTCTTGCCCATTGTATTACAACTGAATAAGTGTGCTCAAATTTCTAATCCTAGGGTTAAGTTAACTATATCTGAGAACTCCAAGTTAGATAAGTTCTTCTCATTAAAGCTGATTATGATAATCCAGAGCAAGTCAGTAGGTGTCATCTTCATCAAGGTTCATCTAATGTGATCTTCTGCCCAATTTTAGAAGCTGCGGTTTAATCAGCCCATTATATGAAAACTTCTAATGAGATATAATAACATCTGATCCTGTCTAAGAATGACTTGAAGAAAATGACAGCAATGTTCAGCTCCACGGGGCTTGTGAATTCCCTCTCAAAAGTATTAAGATATCTTACAAACACTTCAGAGTCTGAAAACAGACCCTAAAATAAGTTTGATGGAATTCTGTTTCATAGGTCTGAAGCTTTTTACATACACATTGATAAAGATGTGCTAATGTGCACCTGCACGGCAGTAACCATGTACCTGCACTAAATTAAAGCCAGCAACTCAAGAATAAAGCATTACCAACTCATCACTCTTCAAAATATTGCACGTTAAAAAAAAAACCACAAATGCACTGAGCTCTGAATAAATTTTAGAAAAGGAAGATTATTAATCCATTCTATTCAAGGTGGACTAACATAGCACGTTGAATCTAAAGCACTGTATCTCAATTTGTAGACATAAGGATTAGAGCCAAGGATCTCAGACCACGTGCAAAATGCAGAATGCTTCCCAGTGATTTTCGTTAAACAGTGTATCCTTTACAATTTCTTACAATTAAGAATTAATTGCCCCATGGTTTTATTAGAACATTTAACCAACTCCTGAAAACATAAAGTCTAAATGTAATTAGTAGAAATCAGAGGATAACAGAACCATCCAGACAGTCGAGTAAACATACCTGTAGTTACAACTTTAGCACTGCTGCCTTTGCATCCTCCATCTTCCCCATTTTTGCTTGTGCTCTTTTCTTTTAAGAGAGGAACAGTATTGTCAAAAGTTATGCACTTGCTGGATGCAACGTTTTCTCCACTGTCTGGCTGATTAATTCTGCTGTTAGGTTCAAGTACAGGAGTGAAGTCCTCAGACTGAGCAGCTTCACTGGGTTCCAGCTGAGAGCAGCTTTTAGCCTGTGACACATTCTTTGAAGACACAGGAAGAGATTCTTCATCACTGTCAAATCCAAATGGATCCTCTGTTACCTCATCTTCAACTTTGGGTTTTTTAGGAACATCGGAAATATCTGGTTTGACACTGGGTCTCTTCTGTCCTAATTTGGCCATGAAGGTGGTTTCTCCCCATTTTGTACTAAGGGTGGTCCGTTTGTTGGAAAATACTTCATCAAACTTGGAACTGCCGTTTCCTCCTTTCCGGCTGTAGGTCTTTCCAAATCGGGATGTCATTTTGGCTCCTGTTTCATATTCTCTGTTGGAAAAGAAAGAAGAAACATAAATTAACCAACTTTTTAATACAAATGATTGTACTTCCATCCTTTATCGGGCCTGCAAGCACCAGGCACGTACATTTTACACGACCAACGGATACATCATCTGTTTCTTTCTATAGACTAACTCATTTACATGTGAATGTCATTGTGTTAAAAGTTTCTGCAATAAGTATCTATCAACTTAACTCAAAATTCAGTTACTTGCACATTTATAAAACGATGGCGCAATGGATCCTTAAGAAAAATCTGCTATTAATACATTATTTTCGGTATTGCTTTGCTCTAATTTTATATTTTCAAGTATAGATGGCACTGCTTTCACGAAACATCAGCAGAAAACTAAACAATATTTTCACCACATCTGAACATGCAGCTCTCTGCTAGAGTCCAATAACACAGTACAGCTTTAAAAAGACTCTTTGTAGTTAAATAAAAAACACTGTCAGAGTATTTCAAGTTGCTATAGATATTTTAAATAGTAATTAATCACAAATAATGATGACAACTTTACCCACGTTCTTCTCACAGGCTTAGACTTACTTAGCAAGCATATTATTTGGTAATACAACGTGGCATATGCCATCTGCACAGTCATGGTCAAGACCGGTACACAGCAATCCCCCATGAGTAAATTTGATTGATCAAGGGACAGAAACAGAGAGACACTTCTCAATCCATTTCTAAGAACATGGAGGACACCTTATGCAGATCAGCATAAACCATGACTGTTTACTGGCTGTTACAACTGTAGCCCAATTCACAGTTCGCTCCCTCAGAAGAATAAAGTTTAAATATGAACAGATTAAACAGGAAAACATTTAAACAGCTCCCTGTGTGTGTTCTATTCCTACTTTTGTTTACTCAAGAAGGAAGACAGACCACTTTGTTTCTTTTTCCCAAAACAAACACTTCAATTACTGGACAAATGACAACATAAAAACAAAACTATCATATCTGTTTTGTAAACCAGCATTTCTCTCCTTTTTTTTTTTTTTTTAGCCCAAACATGAATAGGAAATTGGAATTCTTTATAGTCAGCCTGAATCTAATCAAATCAAGTCCATCTTTCTCTCTGAAATTACTCTCCATACTGGAGAAAAGTCGGTTAAAAAAGAGTGGCATCTATATAAGCTACAGAATCAAGGAAATCCAACTTTTAAAGTGTCAACTGCCTTCATATATAGTAAAATATATGAAAAACAGCGCTTTAAATCATCGTTAATAAACTTATCACATGATCTATTTGTTCAAAACAACTGGTTTTATTGTTATTTCCCTGAATACTTTGTATACTGTCTTCTTTCCATATTCTAGTTTTCACCTCCACTCACAGTTTTTCAGCCTGAAGTGCTAGACTAGCTTCTGCCAAAATCACCAGACTGGTTTCCAGAAATGTCATTCTATCACTTTGCTCTAGCAAGACTGTCTCACTAATAATAGTCTCCGTTTATCAGACGAGGCCAACCTTCACTTATCATATGAACTGAGCAATTCATCGGGTCACCTATGTTTGAGAAAATTTTAAGTGAATTAAAAGTATCAAATTAGAACTTTTTGAACTTTAAAGTTTACCAGACAGATGGTGTTGCAATGCAGAAGAGATACAGGAACAACCACTTTGGGAAACACTCTTCTCCCCAGCAGTTTAGCAGATGGATGATAAAGGCATGTGCTTATCTACTGACCAGAATTCTGCTGTGAAACACCATTCTGCAGACTGCTTCTGGTTGTTCCCAGTAGATGCTACTCTCTAACCCCACCTCCATCCTCTTTTTCCTCACAGTGTCATCAGCCTACTCTGTGCTGCTCCAAAAACATCACTGCCAAACTTTTTCTTTTGCTCTCCTGTAAGTAGCTCTAATTTCCTATTTTCCATCCAAGAGTGAAACTAAAACTTTCCCACATACTTTAGAAAATGAACAGCAAAACAAATCCAGCTTACTACTTTTATTTTGCTGATGTTTGAAAATACTTATAACAGTAACCAAAATATTTTATACCTGAAACATCGGTTTTTAGAGCTATAGAAACTAAACTGAAATATTTATTAATGCCTCGGTTTCTGTACAACTCTTAAAATGAAAAAAAAAAATTAAAAATCACACCACTCACCACTAGCACACTTTCCTCCCCTAAATCCTGACTCATGTAAGTATTTCCAACACTACACTTCCAGCGTCTGCAAAAATAACAGCAGATTTAAATTATGACTTGTGGCTTGCAGTTCTAAAGAGAAGATGCCTGTAGTCAAGAAGACTTCATTTTCAGAAGGCAGAGCTCCTCAATCTACATTTTCCTATTTATAAGATTAACATAATCTCATAAAGAGTTTGGAGTCAAAATGTCAAAACTCAAATAAACATTCAGTAAGATATAAACAGGTTAAAAGATGAGTATCAGGAAAATATAAATAAACTATGCTATAAACTCACATCTTGGACTGAAACGAAAGATAAGGAAATACACATGCACCTCCCTACATGAGAATATCAACAAAACAGGATTTTTACTCTTTATTTACAATTCTCCCTTGCTTCTCCCTCAGTGTGAAATAAAAAACTTGGCCAATTTCACTTTGTTTCCACTCCCTGCCTCTCTCCCCTGCACTGTGCTGCAATATTTGGAGCAGCGCAAGAAATGTAAATACAAGCAAAAAACCGAAACGTAAATCTCCCGCATCTCCCAGAGCTAACTCGGTGGACCAGCCAGACGTAAAAAAACCCGGTAATTCCCCAGAAAGCCCATCAGCCACCCCTACTCATTGCTCCTCTCTACACCGTTCCTCTTACATAATCAAAGGAAAGAAAAATAGGTTAAATGCACGGAGGCAGAAGCAGCTGACGAAATCCCACGGTGACAGTTTCTTTTTTCC